ACAGTCACTTACGGACTCACTGTTAAAACCGTGTTTATGGAAGACAATCTTACTCGGCTACGAGTGATCGCCAAAGAAGAAGAAGATACATTCCATTTGGCACACATTATGTTTTGTCTTCACAAAGCTTTTATATTTCCTCTCATCCAGGCTCTTGTTTTTACAAGGCCCTTTTTCAGATGAGTTAATCACCAGATCACTGAATGCAAAACATTGTTTTGCAGCATAATACCCAACTCCCTTCAGTTGATATGCTCACTTTTCTTCCTCCTCTCTCCAAAAATTCCCATGGTAGTTATCAAATAGTGGTTCAGGAGTTTGCATGACCCCTGAAGAGGTTTTAGGAGTGCTACAGCACTAAGAATGAGCCAGTCACAGATTCAATTCAAGGGGTTGGTTTTGGTCTTTAAGGCCCTTCAGAGCTTGGGACTAAAGTATCCAAAAGACCACCTTTCCCCACACCAATGCAGACCCTTGGAGGACCCTCCGGAGTATGGTGTGGTGGGTCCAGGAGATATGGCCTTGTCAGTGGTGGTTGTGGAATTCCCTCATCTAAGGGGCACCCAAAGGTGCTTACTTTGGTATCAAGCAATAACCTTTTAATTTCCCCAGGATTTTAACACTGTCTTAGATTTAAGCTCCATTTCCCCATCGTGTTTTCTGTTTTCGTACTTTATTAAGTTTCTATTGTTACTGGATTTTCAAATTTTTTCTTCTTATGAACAGCCCTCAGAATTTTGTTAGAGGGTGACCCATAAACACTTAATAAACTGGTGGAATGGCTGAATTCAGGATCACTATGGGGTTTGTTTGTTTTTTAAGCCAAAATTCCACTTTAGGCATTCTGGGAAAATGTTTGGGAACTGTTGTGAGTAGACCTTATGACCATTTTTGCATGCTAAGGCAATGGCTTAGAAGTGACGTACAATAGAATAACAATCAAGTTCAACAGTCAAAGTATTTGAACAGCTAGAACATGTTGTCAGGATATTTCTTGACTGTTTTCGTTCCAGGCACTAGCCTAGCATGGAAAAGCACTTTGACTGGGCCCCAACTCAGGGTTGCTATACAAAAGAAAATGATGGCAGTCATAGACTAGGGTGCTGCAGATCTTTTGCCTGTAGCAGCTGCAGAAACAGCAACATTCAGATGCTAGGCTAAGAGGTGAAGCTTAAGACTTGTAAATAGGGGGTGTATATTTGTAAAAAGCAATATGCAACATATGAAACACCTTTTGGAATATACTGTGTGCATGAGTGCTTTCTATGTGCACTATATGTGTGCAAGTGCATGTCCATAAGAAAGTTAAAGTACTTTGGCCACACCCACCGCTGGCATGGAGCTTTTTGAAGCTTGGTCAATCCTCAATGTGGCCCTCAGCCAAAGAAAGGTTAGCCAACACTGGACTATGGGAAGAACAAACTTGGGACATATTGCCTCTTGCCTTTCTGTTGAATCAACAGACATATAAAAATAGTCAATGGCAATGCTCACAAGTTATAAAATTCATACTATATGTAAAGCTTTGGATTTTTTTTATTAGTACATGATTTATAGAATTTGAAAAGTGTCATGAAAAGAGAGCTCTTGCTTGGAATCTTTATGAAAGCCCCATGAACAATTTTGTTCATAGAAAATAGTGGCAGGGAAAGATGGTCTCCTCACATATCCCTATTTTCTGTGTAAAAGAGCAAAAACATTCATAAATCAATGTTGATTACTCATTTTGAACAACTTGTCTTTGGCATATTTCCAGTGTGGAAGCAGCTTCCTGAAAGAAAGAGCCCAAATTCTGAAATCACAACACAATACAATACAATAATTGGTGGAAGGAAGCAAGTTACGAACAGCCCTTCCAAGAACGGGGAAAGATTCGTGTTTACTGTACTTAAAAAATTAAAGAGACAAGAGGCCAATATATATTTGTCTACATTCCATATTATTTCTGATTCCAGTTTGTCATTGCAAATAAAACAGTAGCAGCTTTGATACTGGACTTTGCTACAAACACTTGTTCAAATATCTGTAATTCTCAAAGGTCTAACATCAAAGTTCATTCTTCCAGGCCAGAGAATTTCCAGGAAAGGTCAATTTCACAGTCTCAGGTGGCTGCTGTAAACTTTTTCTCCTCTGGAATCTTACTGCATTTGGTCCCACTGGTCCCAATACTTGGGGGTCCCAGGCTGCAACCTCTCTGCAGCTACGATACTCTTTTGAGGAAGGAGGAAATTCAACCACCATTGTCCTGAAGTGACAAATATTCTAATGAAGAGAATTCAAGGCCTGCTTGGGGTGAAAAAACAGGAAGAGACACAGAATATAGTCATGATCTACCTAGTGAGAAATGGTGCAGAAGCTGTGCTGGAGGCCAATTGATTGATTGAAGTACATTCCGTGGCCTTCAAACAAACCTTTAATGCAATTGGTGTTGCTCTCCTCAACCTTTCATGTGATATGATTTCAGTTAGTACATAAAGTGTAAAAACACTCAAATAACCATGCAAACTGTTCCCAAATATATGTTAGATACCTCTTCTTACTAGATCACAACTTTATAAAGGGCTCAAGTAGGAATAACAACAATTTGTTCTGGTAGAGTAAAATTATACAAGGTCATCTAGCAGGAGCCTTTGCCAGTCACCAAGAGCCTGAAAAACCCAGATAAAATACTACTAAGGGTTCACAAAGTAATACTGATGAATGCATGTACACAGAGGCTCTGGGATACTTACACTGATACGTAACAAGACACCCAGACTTCCAGAGTCTGATGCAGGTACCTGAAGTGTAAGCACAGATTCCAGAGCATTTGCACAACGGCTACAATATGTGATGGCTCAACCAGGTAACAAGATTGCCACTTAAAAGAGAACAGGGATAAGAGGGTGGTTTCCCACAGAGCAGGGCTAAGTTTTTTTCTGTAATACAGCATCTTCATATCCAGCGATAAAAGAGAACTGTGTGTTCTCTCCATAGGAGATCAATGATTTTTCTGCAAGGCAGCAGGAAATAGGTTTTTTGGGGGGCAGGGGTGCTGAGGTACATAGCTTCCTTCTTAAGAGGTGCCCCTGACTGTGAACATCCTCTTTTCATGAGGTGGTGGTGGGGAGATGCATGTTTCTGAATAAATTCCAGTGAGACAGAACATGGACTCCTAGGGAAGCAAGAGATCACGGGGCAATCTTTCCAGGGCTAGTAAAATAATTTGTGCTGGACAGAGCAGTACCGTGAAGAGCTCACTACAAGATGAAAGATGCAGGTGACAATCCAAGTCTGAAAACAGCAGCTGCCAGTAAGGTGGATACAAAGAATGGTGCAGCATCCAGGATGAGTTGTTTCCTGAACATCTATCTGATCTCAACAGGCAGTCTTAGCATAGTATACATAAGTAATACCTTGGTAGATAGAATATGGTGGAGGAGCTTTTCATTTCCCATTAAACTGCAACACATGATAAGGTTGAGGGTGAGCAGCTGGGCTCATCTCTCTCAATAAGACAAGGAAATGGCTTCACTCAGACTGCCTACCAATATGTTTCTATTAGTTCATGTAGCTGACTCATCCTTGGAGTCTCACCAGATCCTGAGAATAACTGGCTATTATCCCATCTCCTTGGAAATCCCCTTTCCTTTTCTTAGTTTAGTCACATAAATCCTGTGGGAGGACCTCCTCTAGTCATTTGCTTAACAGCACCCTGTCCTGTCCTGTCCTGAAGATACTCTTCATCCTTCCACCAGTGTATAGATAGCTGCTGTGTACGGATTAGTCTTTTTTTTTAATGCTACTAACACTGGCAGCTTGACAACAGCACAAAACAACATGTGGGGAGGAAGGTAGCCTTGCTGAGAAGGGAAAAGTTGTTTATTCAATTTGGAGTCTAACTCCTGACAGAGGCAGCTTCCTACAGTCCCCTACAAGCCCAAGCAGGAGTAAAGCTGACTAGACCCGATCTTCTGCTCTAGCCCATTTCATTCCTAAGGGGACATTTATTTTTTATAAGAACAAAATATATTTTTTCTCTCAGCACAAGCTATTTTGCTGCCTGAGGTGGAACAGCATATACCCTCCAACCCAAACAAAGTGTGCAGTACCCAAGGCTGACCAAGTTATTTTTTTCACCAGACACACAAAATCCTACAATCACCTCTACTTGGCAGTCAAAATACAATAATAAATTAGAAGTAAAAATTAGCTGCAAATTCAGGACACCCAAAATCTGCTTTCTGATGAAGTATCCCCACTTAGCCTAATGGTAGAACAGGCTCTGAAAGAGTGTCATTTCCTTATAATGAATGTTGTTTCTACAGAGGTCACATTAAAATGGGCATATTTAGTGTTTCTTCTGGTAAGAGGTTGCTTCAAATTCCCCTAGACCGCTTGAAATGCTACAAAGTCTGCAAAACTAGTTTGACCAGAGATCAGAAGAAGAGGGTATGTCATATAGGCAATGGTCACTTCAAAATGCTGCCTCCTGTTCTCTGAAAAGCTATTGCTTACCCTCAGCCAGTATACTCACTGAAGACTTGACACAGTGGCCGAAGAGGTACTGAAGCTGCCAATGACAGCTGTAACTGAACTATGATGGCAAGGATCTGACTGACTGGGCAGCAGGATTAAGACCTTTAAATAAGTTTGCTTTACCCAATCTTGTTGTCCACTTCTTACTGACTGACTGCTGTTCCTCTAGCAGGCAGAAGGGAATACACTGGTATAGCGTCCTATCCCTTGCCTAGAATGGGGAAGAGTCCAGATTTCATGATAAAAGTCTCTTCCAGCTATATTCTGCCTCTGAAGAACAGCATTATTAGAGCCTTCTGCTAGCTACATGGGTTCTCTTGCTATTACTCTTCTAATCTTACAAACCCAAAACACAACAGCAGAGCCAGACTGTGGGAAGGATGCAAAAATAGGAGCACATTCTTACCACACTCTAAATCCAAGGTTCTCTGTACTACAAGCTTGATTGTAGAAAAAAACTGCAAAACTGATTAAGTGGCAATTCCATTTTGCACCTGACTAAAAACAAGTTTTGAATTCTTCCACCGTGGACCTCCTAACACGTAAGAGGTAAAGAGAGATTGAAGAAAAGAAAAGAATTCAGATTACCATGTTATTTATATGGTGTTTGTTCTGTCCTATGATAGTCTCAATATCAGACTCTTTCATCACAGAGCCATTAATTGCACAACCCTATAATGTTTACATAGAGATAAGTCTTATGATGTTTAGTGGTCCCAAGCAAGTGTACATAGGATCATGGCCTTATTGTGATGAAGTCTCTTTAGAATAAGAGCAGCCAATAGAGAGGAAAATCTCCATTCAAGGAGCTCTATCATCCCCTCCCCCCATGAATTGTTAAACAGGCTACCCAAGGGCCAGCTACACATGATGTTAATCACATGGTTTAACATCCTGCATATCTCCTGCTTCAAAGATTGTAAATAGCAACCACCAGGCCCCTCAGTCAGGATCAGGTGCATGGGGATGAGGTTTAACCCTTTCCTTCCTTCCACACCGCCAGGATCAGGTGCATGGGGATGAGGTTTAACCCTTTCCTTCCTTCCACACTGCCAGGATCAGGTGCATGGGGATGAGGTTTAACCCTTTCCTTCCTTCCACACCGCCAGGATCAGGTGCATGGGGATGAGGTTTAACCCTTTCCTTCCTTCCACACTGCAGTTCCGATACCTGCCCTCACCAGGGGAAAAACAGCTATTTGGCATATGAGGGGAGTTCTCACTGCTGCCAACAGAAGCTTTCCTCCCATGCCAAACAGCAGCTGAGTGGGGGGTATTTTTGTTGGGACTGTAGCATAGGAGTTGAAAAAGGTGCAGGAAAGGGCAACTAAAATGATCAAGGAGCTAGAGAAACTGCCATATGAGAAAATATTACAGCATTTGGAACTTTTGTTTCAAAAAAAGGGAGAAAAAGTGGGGAGATATTACGGAGGTGTATAAAATAATACATGGTGTAGAAAAAGGGAGTAGGGAAAAAGCAGTCATGTGAAGTATCTTGAGTCACTCTGTTTCCTTCCATATATGACAGAACAGTAAATAAATGGATCAAGATCTTAGAAACTATCCTATGAAGAACAACCGAGAAGGGTAACATGTGGAATATTATGTCCCCTGACAGGTGTGTGCAGCATAGGCCACCAGACCAAATGCAGCCCACCAGCCATATACGAGGGCCTGCCAGCTATCAAACCTCTGACTCAATTTTTGCAGCCTGAAGTATGCATCAAAAATAAGTTTATTGGGCCTCTGGCAAGTTCCCATATATATTTGATCATCAAGCTGAATATGAAGCCCAGCTTCACGATAATGATGTTCTTAAACATAAAACTGATAGGAAATTTAAAATAATTAAGGGACACAAATATGAAAAGACCACATGGTGTTACACAAAAGCAAACCAACCACAACCAGATGCCTAACAATTTAGATATTTTGTTGCCTGCTGAAAACGTTTCTTTTATGACAATTGTTTTCAGAGGATTAATCTGATTCAGTGTAGGTCAATTGTTCTGTATTTTAGATTGTTTGAATACTTACACATTGCACACCATCCTGATATTTTCTTATGAGCCAGTGGTTTAGAAATACTTTAATAAGTATAATAAAAGTAAAACACCCAATTGGACTACAATTAAAACTGACCCAACAGGATGTGGTGAGAAGATGGGGACTGAGAAGCAAACCAGGCTAATATGAAAAGGTAGAAACTGCCTCAGGACTTAAGCATCTCTGGGAATGGCCTCAAGTTATTCAGCATCATCCCATCCTTATACTTCACTGGAAGAACTGCTGAAAAACTGTGCACACTTCTAGGAGAAGTGCTAACCCTGATCTCAGTTTATCAACTTCTATGCAAAAGTACTGCCTCATACAAAGGATGCTGGAAAGAGTTTGATGTATGTACTGTAAAAAACACAAGGCAGTATCTACAAGCAACAACCACAGTGTGCTGCTGAAACACAAGTTGATAAAAGCAAACAAGTTGATAAAAGTAGTGCTGCTTTCTCTGTGAAACAGAAAGGCTTTCCCTTTCATATACTACAGCAATACAAATGTCTCATTTACAGCCAGCCCAGCATTCAAATGCACTTTCCCCAGCCATACATATTCCAAGCATAAGGAAGTGCAGCCATTTCACATGTAAACCCCTACTTGATTCAAACAAAACTACTGAAGATTAATTGCATGGTACTAGGAGAGAGGGATCAGCTGTGTAAAAAGTACAGTATGTTTCTACATTCTCACACTCAGCAAACCAAAGTACCTTCCAAATAGTAAAAACCTAATCTGAGATTTAGGGTCTGCATCCTTGACAAATTACAAAATGTAATTTGTAATTATAGCTTGCCAATTTTTTGGCATTAAACAGCCGCTGCCAAAAAGAATGGCAAAAATGTTGTGATTCATTTTCTTTGAACTTGCATAGGCTGAACTATCAGGTGTCCAGAAGAGAAGTACGTACAGCACACGAGTGCACGTTTGTAACTGATTTGGAAGAGGATAAAAGGAGTCTCTTCAACTATGGAATCTTAATGATAAGCCTTCTCTTCTCTGAAAATATACAAATTAAAAAATGTGCCTAAAGGTGCAATCCTAAAGTACACTGATTAGGAAGCAGTCTCACAGAACTCAATGGAGGTTAGCTTCTTAAAAAACTTATTTAGGAAGCAGTACATGTCAGCCTGTAGTGAAAAATCAGGATTTAAACTGCATAGTGAAGCAGCTGCGTGGGCATGTTGCATACCCAACATCAGCCCGATTTGCCATTAACCTATAGTAGATGAAGGTAACTGAAATTTGTTTCCAGCACTGTTAGATCTCATATATTTGCTCCACTATTTAAAAGACTAGTGGCTTTGGCACATATTCAGAAGTTGGATAATTTATTAAAGGGCTAGGTTAGAGAACAGCAGGGTTTATCTATATACTATGTGTCTCAGTATCCCTGCACTATAGTCCTAGATCAGGACAGTCATATCTGTATATGTTAAACTGTCTGGAACAGAAATGTTTATCATTATTTATTTATACATTTGATTTGATACAAAACTGAATTCAGTTTTTCAGAGAATGCTAGATGGTTAGAGCGTAGTGCTAATAATGCCAAGGTTGCAGGTTTGATCTTTGTATGGGACAGCTGCATATTCCTGCACTGCAAGGAGTTGGGCTAGATGATCCTCAGGGTCCCTTCCAATGCTACAATTCTATGATAGCCTCAAACACTAAATAATCTTGCCTCCAAAATGTAACCAGAGTTAAGAGGGAATGATGGAAGTCAGTGGTGGCAGAAATGAGTAGTTCCTGAGAGCCAAGTAACGTTATCCCTTATCCACCCATGGAATCATTTAGGAATGTCCCATCACTTATTTACCTCATTACAAAATGCCAGAAAAGCTCCAAAAAGGGCTGCTACTTTTTGCCTACTTATCAGGCTACACTGATCGAGCTCCAACCTTATATTCCCAGTGCAAATAAAGCATAATTAAGAACACAGCAGAAACTTAAGGTACCATCCATATTTCCTCCAGCTTCTTCCATACACATGCCTTTTCCAAACAATTCTTACAGAAAACAGACTGACCTGTAAAATATAAAGGCAACTCTGAAGCAGGGGGCCAAAGTGTTTGGTTCTTAGACAGTGGCAATTCAGGATTTCAACTCTTTGGAGAGACTGATGTGTGCCGAGGCATCCTCACCCGCCCTGCTCCAACCGTGGTCCTCTTAGCTTCATCACCTTCCTCCCAGCCTTATTCTACTTGAAAAAAACCATGCAAATAGTTCTACCATCGCAACATCTACCATGAGCAGAGTTAAAACGCTTTCAACCAAGCAAAAGAGGCTGCTTAGAAATAGGCACCAGATAGTGGTAAAGAAGCCAGCCGCTTGCATTCTCACCTTCCACCCCTCTCCCAAACATCTACAGACTCCCTGCAAAAAATACCACTTTACCCAATCCCACAGGCAAGCAGTTGCCCATGTAGCAAAGCACCAAGCAAACCTACACTTTTGTCTCTTGCTTCTGCCCAAATGAGTTTAGATAACACTTTCCCTCAGTACCAGTCACTTTGCTCCAGGCACTTCCTAACAATTCCCCACAGCAGCTACAGCATGACAACCAGTGAAATGCTGAAATATTATTGGGAAGCTCCCCACCTCCAATTAGAATTTCAGTGGCACCCGTCTTGATTTTTTTCTTCTTCCAGCCTCTCTGTCAAAGATGGCTCTAACCCTAATTGAAGAGTTGTTCCAGCAAAGAGTTTCCCTATTAGGGTTACACACAGAGAGGGAATCCCAAAACAACAGGCTATGTACAGACAGATTAGCATTCTCTCCATCACAGAGATGAAGTGTAAATAATTCCTGAGGATGGCCATCCTCTAATCTGTGTGCCAAATTTCAGTCACCCTCTTGCCTTGGAATGAGCTCTACAAAGCAGTAGCTGTTATGTACATGATCTCAGCTCCCTTTCCTTGGAGAGTGCTCATCAAAGTGTCTGAAGAGCCCTAGGACAGACAGGCTGGGATGTCCTTAGGCTGACTCGCCAGCAGCACTGGAACCTGTAACTTTCTTCTTGGGACGGGCTTTGACAGTCTTTTGTGGGGGCTGGAAAGCAAAAGAGGAGAGAAATAACATGAAACTAGTTGCAGGACAAGGAGTTTTAAAAAAGAAAGAGCTTTGATGAAATTTTTGCTGAGACCTCAGATCATTCACTGAGCTCCTACTTCCAGAACAAAAGGAACTGATTGCTATCCAATTTTAAGCCCTCTTACTTCTGTAATTCTATTAATGAATCAATTCAATTAGTAACCTCAGAATAAGAAATACTTCTGGTACGGTAGCACTAACAGAAAATGACAAAAAAATAAAACAAACCTATAAAGCAGTCAGCAGAGGGCACTCAAATAAAATAGGTTATTCTTCTACACAGCCATTTCCTGGCTCTTTACCAGCTCCTTCAAAATTATTTCCAGAAACAGAACCTGAGCAATCAAACTGAATAACCAGTATAATTTCAGCTACTCTTGAAGGTATGTCCAGATGTGTAGGAAACCTTTGATTCAGATACAGTCCAAAACTTCATGGAGGAAGCCAGCCACAGCCAATTCCTGCCACCCAATGATATACCATCAGCTGTAATCTAGCTGGGGGCCAGGACAGCTAAAGCACTCTACCCTAAATGACCTGATGTGCTGCATGTGGCCAGCAAGACCACCACCAAATTTCAATTAATGTCAAATATGTGAAATTTTTTTAGCTCTTTAAGAAGGGGTGCTTCCAGATAAAGGTTTATTGTGAAACTGGTGCTTTCCGTGCACACAAGTATTTTTGCACAGTCCACAGGAGACTGTCATCATCAAAATGCCAGCCTATGCTTTTTGACATTTAATCCAAATTCCCTCTTAATGTGAAATATATATGGAAGCTCATTAGTGCATTTTTGGTTGGGCCTTTCCCCCTAAAAATAGTAATTTAATTTTGATTTTTACAAACAAAATGAAAATTGATATCCCCATATAGTTGTGTATATACCCAGAGCAGAAAAGGTTACTGAAGGACAAGGGAGCAATTATTGAAGGGAGAGGCCAGAAAACCACAGCATGGAAACATTTCTTCAAGGTGTGGCGTGGACCTGATACAGTGGAATTCCTACGAAAAATCTAAGATTAAAAGCTGGATGCGTGGACATGTGCACAAACTGCGCACACAGAAAATCTTATTTGAGCCAGTTGTTTGCAACATAAAACCATACTATATAATATATTTTGGCACTGGAAAAATCAAGAAGGGGAGCCCAAACAAAAACAGCTGATGGAATGTCTGCAGGCTGTGCCCCTAATGTCAGCAGCAGATCATGCAAAAACTCATAAAACTGGATGCATCCTGAGTGCCAAATAAGATGCAGCAGTAGCACATTCATGTTTATTCATTCATGTGCCTATGCATTCACAAATGAAGCAGGGGAGTCCAACTTTAACATCAAAAGGGAGTACATAAGAGAAGGAAGTTGAATCTCCCCTCCTCTGCCTTTCCTTCCCATGTTCCAACACCCCAAGCCCTTTCTCAAAGCTCAGCCAACTTCCAGTACTGCAAGAGGGGAGTGGAGAAAATAGAGCATGGGAAGGTAAGCAAATGAATGAAGAAGTATTCAGCTGGTCATGCACATTCTCATTTAAAAATGAGACACTATCCACTCTCTGCTTGGCATAGCAATGGTGCAAATGAACAAACAAGTTGCTGCTGCCATCACATCTACTTTCAGCCCTTAGTAATGCCTTAAATTCTTACTAAAGAGGCATTTAAATTATTGACAGAATAGGAATGTGAAACAACAGAAGGAATTCAACATCACACTCTTCTGATTGTTCTGTTACTGCAAACATTTCAGCCTGCCAAACAGAATGATCCCTCCCTCGTTCTGGGTGTTCTCCTGATCCCCTCCGAGCCAATTTTGGGGGATGCAGGGGAGAAAGCCCTTTTGTACAAGTTCTTGTGCAGGCTTCTGCTGATGGGACCCATTAGTTGAATCCTGTCCAATACTTCAAAATGTAGTGAAAGATATCTGGCAGGCAAGCAAAGCACACTTGCAAGGGAGGGGCAGCTATTAAAAGGGATTATGTGCCAAGTTGAAGCACACAAGTTGTACATGAGGCAGGATCCAGCTGCAAGCTTTCCAAACAATTACATCCAGCTCACCTCAGTCTTTGTCACTTTCTTAGGAGCTTTAAGGCTCTGGGTCCGTTTGGGAACTTTGTCTCCTGTATCGTCATCTGATGGGTCTGTTCTGGCATCAGACTGGGCCCCATTATGTCTTTGAGACAGAGTCATCTCTTCCGATGAGGAATAACAGGATGCACCTGAGGAGAAAACCAAAAACAGAGATGCCCCTTATTTTTTAATATGGAGGAGGAGCAGAAAATGAAAATGCCATCTCCGATACCAAGGTTCTTGAAGGAAAGGAGAAAATAAATAATACTAATACTAAGGCGACTAATAATTTATTACACACACACACACACACACACACACACGTGCCCCACCCATCTGACTGGGTTGACCCAGCCACTGTGGGCAGCTTCCAACAGAATATAACAGAACATAGTGAAACATCAGACATTAAAAACTTCCCAAAAAGGGGAGCCTTCAGATGTCTATGGAAAGTTGTGGAGAATCAAACTGTCAAGGTGACAAAAGACTCAGTGTCTTTAAATGACTCTTTGAATCACTTTATTGGGATTCACCTCCCCACCCCCCTTTTAACAAAAGTAACAGGAGTTTGGTTCCTCCCCCAATCCAGACCAGTGTGGATTGGTGGTGTGCAGTGTAAAGTGAAGAAGGGGTGCCCAGGTGCAGAGGAGATCAAACCCTTCCTTTGCACACATCCTCTCCCCTCCCCCAGTCTATCTTCTAGCTAGGATCACTGGTTGAATGAAAATTACAGAGAGGTATAGAAGATAAAGATAAAAGAAGTTGTTTTGTGTATGTGAACACAGAAACCTCCTTTTATGCTTCCATGCCTTGCTTTATATATTACTGGAAAATACCCACATTTAAAAATACGGGCCTGCTGCTGTCATGAGTAGCGTGGCCCAAGCTATAATATCTTGCTGCTGGGAAAAATGTGAATTCTTTCTTTAAGCAGCATGTCCATTACAATTGTGAGTACTGCATGAAATATAGGTGTGCATGCACTCCAAGTTCAAAACATAAACACAGCTAACTACCACTGAAGTTAGACGCTTTAATATTTGCCCCAAGCCCACAACTCTTAGACATCTGCCCTCATTAAATAATATGAATGGATTGCTGTTAACCTGAATCATCAACAGTTTCAAGATGACCAGTAGCAGAAGTACGCATGCGTGGCTCAGGGCTCCGTAAATGCACAGTGTCATCATCCCGAATCAAAGTCAAGTCCTGCATGCTGAAACTCCGTAGTTTTTCAGATAAAACTCCTTGGCCCTTTAAGACATAATTTCTAGTTGTAACTATTCACATGAGTTGAACCATTCAGAACACATAAGAGGACATGCTAAAACAGCTTCCAATGGAAAAGAACACTCGACAGCAGTTAGATGAGAGGGACACAGCTTGGGTCAGGTAATAATAATAATAATAATAATAATAATAATAATAATAATAATAATATTTATTTATACCCCCCCTTCCCAGCCAAAACCGGGCTCAGAGCAGCTAACTTCAAATATATAACACATTAACATAAAATCAGGCAATCAGTTAAAACACATCCTAAAATCAGATCAGGATCAGAATAAAATCCAATCAGATTGCAAGCTGCAGATGAGTTTGTCTCATGTCTAACTTGAAAGAACAACTTAGCAGACAGCATGGAGGGGGGGAAGTGGGATAGAGTTATGACACCAACAGAAGGGAACAGGGTTGATATGGCACATAGGTATATAAGGAGTTACCTTTGCAGCTGCAGTAACTGCTGCATTGGCTGCCAAATTTAATCCTCGCTTGCCAACTCGCATCATAGTTTCATAACTCTTGTCACGGGCCTGGCTGATATACTCATCGATTTCCTAGGATTTAATTGGTGGGGAAGGCCACATTAAAAAATTATTTGCATAGCTATAGCCCTCAAGAATGATACATACTCACACAAAAGTTTTTAAGAGGAAGTTTTTTGGGGAAGAGCTGAAGCTCAGTAGTAGAGCATCTGCTTTGAATACTGAATTGCTTAGGGTTTAATTCTCAGTACCTCCAGGAAGGGCTGGGAATGTTGCCTGTCTGAAACCCTGGCGAAGGCTGCTAGTCAGTGTACACAATACTTGGCTAGATGGACTTATAGTCCAACTAGGTATAAGGCAAGAAGGTCAAAGTCCATAGGGTTTGAACAACAAAACAGAACAGAAGTTCTCAAAGTCATCATAATGTTTTACTTTTGTTAATTATAAAACCTTTCAAATTTTCTCTAATGACTAAGTAAATCTTTCCAGAGGTTATAAACTATCCATCAACAGCTTGCATGGTGGAATGAGAAAAAGAATCACCTATGGATCATCAATGCCTATACACACAACAGAACAAATGCAGCCGCACTAATTAACAATACACTAGATTACAGAGTACAAAAATAGTTCAGCAGGACAAGGTAACAGAAAAACCAACACCTCTCATTTTGATAATCATGTACTTAGAAGTACCTATCACATCTTAACACAGGCAACCCAAGTAAGAGGGGAAGAAAAACATGCTTAAACAATTATTCACATGGAAGAATATATCTTTAAGTAAGACTAAGATCGGGACGCGGGTAGCGCTGTGGGTAAAAGCCTCAGCGCCTAGGGCTTGCCGATCGAAAGGTTGGCGGTTCGAATCCCCGCGGCGGGGTGCGCTCCCGTTGTTCGGTCCCAGCGCCTGCCAACCTAGCAGTTCGAAAGCACCCCCAGGTGCAAGTAGATAAATAGGGACCGCTTACTAGCGGGAAGGTAAACGGCGTTTCCGTGTGTGGCTCTGGCTCACCAGAGCAGCGATGTCACGCTGGCCACGTGACCCGGAAGTGTCTCCGGACAGCGCTGGCCCCCGGCCTCTTGAGTGAGATGGGCACACAACCCTAGAGTCTGTCAAGACTGGCCCGTATGGGCAGGGGTACCTTTACCTTTACTAAGACTAAGATCAAGCAGTAACTTGTCTTTATGGAACAGAAGAGAGGAATTTCACAAACTAGTTCTGGCAGCAATGAAGCATACTTCTAAAGGCCAGTTTTAAAGTATCATGACATAGCAGTAAATGTTGACTTCAATGTCAAGATCAATGTCAACATGTTGACTTCCAGTAAATGTTAAATAGGACATTTCTGGATTTTTTTTCTGGAAAGCTTTTTGGAAAATTTCCTATGCAATTTTGGGTAATTAGCAATAGAAAACCTTGTTTGCATTGGAAATTTTCTAGGGCATACAGAAAATTTATCTAATTTAGCATGTTTATTTTATATGCATTTAGTAAACAAAACTAAAAACTTGGAAACTTCTAAGTCTGTCTAATGCTATGTTGACATTCATTCACTGATATTAATCACCTTATAAAATGGACATTTTTCCTCCACTGCCATTCCAAAAAACACACAGGAAGAAATTCTTACACCACTGGTTCAATGACTTACATACATCAGAGGCTGGGCTAAACTCATCTGGATTATGAGTCTGGTGAAGATTTTGTCACTGATTGATTTGCATTTTAGTCTATTAAAATGGAGAGAATGTTTTGTCTATCCAACCTGGAGAGAATGTAGCCCTGATAGACTCTAAATGCATGGGCTAGTTATTGTTAAAGGTGGCTGCTATCAAATCACTCTATCTACAGAAACAATTGAATTGTATGGACTTTGGAACTCACCGTTCACCTGTAGGCATAAACATAGCTAGCAGGTCAATAAGCAAAAATAGCTGCACTTGTCATGTCTAGTCTGATTCTAAAATAGCCAAATTTTATGAAAGATTAACCAATTAACTATAAGAGAAATTTCAGGACTATTATTCTTAGTTTTAACATCAGTGGGGGGATCTCTTCCAAGACTGGGTGGAATCAAGACCCTCATCAGTTTGTTAGAAGTATTGAGAGTGTGACCTCTCCTATTTATCAGAATACAGATACTGTATTGGCCCAAATATAAGCCGCACCTTTAAAATGGGGGGGCGGAGAGACAATACCCGGGCCGCTTACTGGGGGGAGCCGCACCGCTTTGCTGGCAGCCTGAGGTCACGAAAATAAGCTGCACTTTAACTTTTCACTGTTGGAATTTGGGGGGAAAGTGTGGCTTATATTCAGGCCAATAGAGTATACCATGACCATTTGGCTCATACTCCTTTTTTTTAGAGCACAAGAGCATACTAATATCCAGTGAGAACTTGAATGATTAGCCACTCAAGAGAAGAGACACAGGTTCTTCACAGCAAAAAAAACCCCTGTGTCCTGCTATTGTGAAATCTGATCCCCAGGAGAAAAATGGGAAGCATGTACCCTTGGTTCTTAAATGAGAAATGAACATCAAGGCTCATGTAATTGTTGTATTGTGTTTCGTTGTGCCAAATTCAGCGTTGTGCCAATTTCAGTCTTCCTCAACATTAGCAGCATCAAGGAGAAAACAAATTACACATATACCAAAACTTTGCCACAGAAAGAAAGCTACTTCCTGGGGTCAATTTTCTTAAATCTCTTCTACAAGAATACCTCCCACACTTCAGACACACATGACAAAAATATCCACTTGTGGTATTCTATACTCAGCAACTGAATCCTTTCTTGATTTTGCATTCTGTATCACAACTATGATGACCTAGCAAGCCAAGTGCAAAAGTCATTGTTGACTCCAGCAGGTGGATGATCAAGGGGAAAGAGAAACAAAGGTTGCAGCTTTTGGAACTTTTTAGTTTCGAGAAAAGGCAAGAAAGAGGTGACACATTAGAAATTTAAAGTTATGCATGCCATAGAGAAAGTGGCTAGAGAAAAGTTTTCCCCCTCTTTCATAACACTAGAACTCATATCCAGTGAAGCTGAATGTTGGAAGATTCAGGACAGATAAAAGAAAGTCCTAATTCACACAGTGCCTAGTGAAACCATGTAACTCGCTCCCACTGCAGGCAGTGATGGCCACCAAGTTGAGTGGCTTTTAAATTTATGGAGGATAAAGTTAACAATGTCTACTAGCCATGATGGCTATGCTCTGCCTCCACAGTTAAGAGGCAGTAAAGTTGCTGGAAACTCCAAGAGGCGAGTGCTCTTTTCTTCAGCCCCTGCTTCAGTTTCCCACAGACATCTTGTTAGTCACTCTGAGAACAGGATGCTAGACTAGATGGCCCATTGGCCTGATCCAGCAGGCTCTTCTAATGTCCTTATGCGTAGTGTTATTTAGTGGGAAATTCACCATATCCACATTTTCCAATGTGTGATACTGACTGTCCTAGTCAGTCCCATGCTTGGAACAGATTTAACATTTAGTTGAAAATATAAAACTTTGAAATCCTGCTATGCTCATGCTCTGGATCTCTTTAGAAATACAGAAGTCTGAATTTCAAGAAGGAATGTGAAGCAGCATGAAAAAGCAGCACCAGTCTGAGAAGTCAGTCAGTGCTAGAGGAAGCTTAACTAAATGTATGCATAAAGGCATTGTGATTGAATACAGTGCTTTGTGCCCCCTCCCCAAAAACGTAGAGGTGTACAGTGCTTTTCAAGAAATGCAGACTGGGAGAATGTTTGTGTTAGTATACCTTTGCCTTACATGGATCCATGGGATCCCTATCAAATACAGGGAGAATTAGCGTCATCATTTCACAGTTATCAGACCTGTTTATCTTGTGAATAACAGTCATCATTTAAACATACATGTGCTATCATAACTGACACAAGGCAGATATACTAATATCGTTATAAAAAGTATGGTAAGAAGCAGTCCTCAGACAGAGCCAGCCAGCCTTTGGCCTGCTAATTCCTAGGGACTGCCTAGCTCTCTTTTGCAACACTGAGGGATTAGCAGAGAAAGGATTAAATATAGTTCATGTGATTTAAAGCCGTACATGGAACTTGTTTCCTTGTGCAGTACATTCTTCTTTTTTAGCATTATGACCATGTATCCATAATTTTTCAGAATCTCGAGACACTTCTGCCTGAAATCCTAACCCCTTCTTGCACCAACATCATGAAGCCAACTATAAAATCCAGAAATCCAGGAAAACATTACATATTAGATAGCACAGCAGAATGGATCATATAGCAAGTGCTCTGAGTTTCCCAAAGTGTTGTCCAGCACTAACATATAGTGTTTGAAAGGAAGGAAATTCAATATTCCAGTGAATGCTACTCCCAAAGGCTGAAATATTACTCAAAAAAATTCTGTCCTTAGGTAAAAATGCATAAGGCACTTACAAGTGGATGGAGACTGTCACCCCTTATCTGCAGGCTCAAACTAAATGAATGACAATGTCTATACTTTGCCCTGTGCTAGAACTACATGAGATTAAGGAGAGTAATTATGCATTTACCACTAATCGCAGTGTAGACTACAAAGAGTAAAGGTCCCAAAAATTAATAAAGGATCAATTAATACAGCAGCAAATGCTGAAAACATTAGCCAGAATCCATATTGCCTCATGCATGAATGGACTGCAGTTCTGCACACACAGAAAAAGTTTGTAGTTTCTCTTCTGGTTATAGTCCCCTGCCCTGCAACAAATGTTGTTCCAAAGAGTCCCTCAAACTCTCCATGCGTGGCCCTTTGGCTCACAGTTAGGAGCCATGAATAAAGCTACTTTATTCAGGTTAGAGCTAACAAATTCTCATCAGGTTACAAACTAGGAATTCACTATTGCTCTGTAAAAGCAGCAGTTGCCACACATCTATTACGAGCAGGCATAAACATGATTAATATCAAGCACAGACAGAGCTAATACCAGTATCTTTTCTGCAATCTATCATGATCTCATGTCACTAAACTTCCAGGATTTATATGTAGGGCAATCTGAAGGAAGTACCTTCTCCTTATTGGAGAGCGTTGGGTGAACAAACTTCCTGTAGAGCACGCTGGAGCCCTTGGTGTAAGGAGAGAGCAGCCAGATCACAAATGCGATTTTCAGCTCGAAATAAAAGGGAAACCTGAGAGAAATGGAAAAGCTAGAATCAAGCTCAGGTTAGAGATGAACAAAGACTGACAGTCCAGAGAGAAGCAAAGATGAGATAAGCAGAAGGAAGAAGAGAGAAGCTACAGATGGAACAGAATCAACATGACAAGGCCAGCTATTGAACAGGCCACACATACCCTTTACGGGATGTATCTTCTTGAAGTCTCTTTTTAAGTTTTCGCCATAGCCTTGATAAGTCTATATCCAAAGTTATCCTCAACCCTGCAAACAGAGTTATGTCCCAGCAGTTGCACTACTCAAGTATTTGTGAAGAGTCATTGGGAAGAGAGTAACATTGGGATGTTCCATCAGGACTGGCCCTCTGCCTGGGAATGACTGATGTTTTCAACCCAGGAATTACCCCCTTCATTTTAGACTTCTGGACAAAGTGGCAGCTAGGAGTTTTGAACACAGATACTGCAGGATTAGGACATCATCTCTGTCCTCAGTTCTAGTCAGGACAAGTAAGTCAGCACAATACAGCTCAATGTTTGCCTAACAGGGATTTACATTGTTGAGAACAAATCTTTGGAAATTTGTTAGCAAAGCACAAGACATGCAATAGTGTCAGAACCTAACATTTAATCAGAACTAGAATCACAATATTCAAAGATTACTCTACAACTATCCCTATAGTTTCCATTAGGTTTCAGCTTCTCTCCCTCACACTCCACAAATCAGATTCGTAAAACTAGAATCCCAGTCTTCATTCACTTTTTGCTCTCTAGAACAGAGGTTGGCAACCTTAATCGGAGGATGGGCCGGAGCATGTGCGCACGCACGCTCTTCCGGGTCAGAGGAGTGCCTGTGCACACACACGCTATTTCCGGTGCTCTCCCGACACGGAAGTGCACCGGAAATAGTGTGTGTGCATGCACACAGGCGCTTCTTCATCCCACACGAGTGCGCACACGCTATTTCCAGTGCACATCCAGGTCAGAGGAGCACCCGTGCGCATGCGCCATCAACCCAGAAGTCGGTCCCTGCGCCGCACCACACTGGTAAGGCGGAGGGCGGCAGGGGTCGCCATGGGCTGGTTAGACAAGCCTCGTGGGCTGCTACCGGCCCATGGGCCTTAGGTTGCCGACCCCTGCTCTAGAAGACCCTATATCTTTTTTTTCTAGGTTGGGAGGACAAACAGAACAACTACACATTTTTGCCAACAACGCAACTTCCACTCATTGTGTATATGGTTTACTACAGAACATTCAAATAATAAACCTGAACAACACCATGTTTGTTTTTCTCAAGAATAGGATAACTACAGGGAAGCTGAATACCTTACCAAATTGCCTCACAGCAACCAATTCTAGATGGATAACTGAAAAAGAATTGAAGTATCCAGTAGTCCCCCCGCTTACTTCCTAAGTGTGGCAGGGTACTTACCAAGAGAGAATGATGTCTGTGAGTGTCTCTGCTGTGGTGAAGAAAGCAAACACAATCCAATACATCATCCATTTGACCTGCAAGACAGCCAGCACCATTACATATCATTTGAAAGCTGCAACCTACTTAAAACAAATTCCTGACTGATGCCAAATCTTGTCATTTTGAAGCAGTTCATTATAATTATACCCATGTCCAAATGTCAGCAATTCTGGGTTTCAAACAGTTGGTCTCTCTCTTCAACAGTGTCTAGTAGCAGAGACATCAAGGAAAGTTCCAAAAACAGAAATTCTGCTTTAAGGTTCGCCTGCCAATAATTTTCAGACACCTATAGCTTTTCACCACACTTACGTCTTATCATTACTTGGCCATCTGTACAGCCTTTTTGTCAATTCAAATGACCTGGAACTTTGCACTTTCGTGAACAATTTGTGCAGATCTAAGATATACATAGTACAACAGTCCTGTTCACAGTGTAATGCACATTTCTCCTCTAACATCTGCACTGACACCATCAAGGAACCTGGGCAGTTGTAACAGATTCTGAACAACCACCCCTCTTTACCAGATTGTGCTAACTTCACAAAGGAATTAAAACCTTGCACATCCTATTTACAACTGGTGCTTGAGAATAGAGACCTTGTTTGCACATCATGGTGATGGCTTATCATGCAGAATTGTATTACTCCTACTTCACTCTTCTTGACTCATGCAAGCAAGAAACAAACAACAACTCCTAGCTTTCCATTGTGTCTGAACCATACATTGTGCTTTGTTTAACTCCAACAAGCCACAGTTTGTAACTAAGGTTTATTCATGGCTTACTGATCATGGTTTAATAGAATAGAACAAACCATGATTAAACACTCATCTAAATATAATGGTTTGTTTCCTCCAAACGTGTGCCAGCAGGAGCAAAATAGTCCTGCTTGGCATGTTCATGGTAAATTATTAACTATAGTTTACCACAATGTGTGACCTGGGGCAGTCTTTCATGTCTGATTTTCCTATCCCTTGTTCTCCTGCTTTGGTTGTGCTGATCTTCACTAGGAAGTCTTAACCATTTCCAGGATGAGAGACAGCACGGGAAACTGAGAGATACATTTCATGAGTAAATAATGTTGCTACCCACAAATCAACAATTCTCAGCAAAAAAAGTTGGGGGTGACCAGAACAACCTAATTATAAGAGGGGCTACAATATCAAAGCAGATTACCAGGATAATAGTATAAACAATGCAATGTATCCCCACACCAAAAAGGAGGAGTTGACCTTTATCACAGCATGTTAATTTTGGTACAGTAACGTTTAATACTAGTACGAATATTTTGGCAGCCAAGATTATGCCCTCATCTTTGTCTGAACAATTTAACGAGCCTGTTCCACGCTAGAAAGAGAAGCTAGCTCCCCCTGCTGTTCCTTAACTACAAGGCATTATGTAAAAAAAATATTGCCACTGAAATTGGCTCCTGAAAAGCAGCTTGTTCTTAAACAGTAACTTTGAACTTGCAATTCCTTCCAAATACCTGGGTGACTCGCAGGTCTATACTACGATGAAATTTGAAAGTGTCCATTTTTAGCCACTTCACTCTGTATTATGGTTATGAACAATATTTCTTTTTAGATTTCATACCATCTACCCTTGATTAATTAGGGTTGCCCATGCCATATTCCCCAAAGTGAAAATCCAGATGGAGTTTTTGAGCCTTTTTTAGGAACATTCAAAAAAAATAAAAACAGCCCAAATTTACCATACGTCCAGGTTTTCCCGGACATTTTGCCGATTCAGCAAAAATATGCCTGGATGCCATTTTTCTGAGCAATTCCCAGATGTGTCCAGGAAAGCCCAGACATTTGGCATCCCTATTACTAATCTTTTGAAAAATATTTTTTGATGCGCTTGCATTATTCTTACTAAAGCTTGAGGATATCCAAACAGCCTTTTCCCACTGACCCTAACATGTATTTTCAGCTAATACCAACTAATGCCAGAGACACCAAATCCAAGTATAGCTGCTATTTTAAAGTACTTTCCTTCGAATTGTGTTCCTCAGCATTCCTCATATTATCAGGGGTTCCTCAACAAAATGATCAGTAATGGCAAAGTAAAAAAACAGCTTGCTTGCTGTTAACAAATTTGCCTTTCAGTGCACAGCTACACAGAAGTGATGAGGTATTTTAGGGTACATACAACTCATGCAGGACAATGGTCAAGATTCTTTGCTCTCCGTGTAGCCCCTCAATAACTAACCATGCAACCTTGAACAGGGGTGAGCAAGGGAGACTGGGATTTAGTAGCGGTTGGGGAAGGGCTGCCAACTTATAATAATAGTTACAACAAAAATTATTTATTTGGGACCAAGGCTTTTCAAATCCCTGAACTTGTATTTGCAGGTCATCACTGTGCATGAATCATGGAAAGCAGCAGAGAGCCAAATTTTCTCCCTAATGGGTCTGGGAAACTTAAGGCAATGAAACAACATGGGCAACAACTGGAATGACAATAGCGGGAGACTCATGACAAATGTGATTACACAGGCTAGAGCTCACTTTCATCACCCTGGTGGTGATGGCAGCAAATAAGTCAGACTTTTCTGCCACCATTGAATCTACTCAGTTGTCCAATGAAACTCTTCTAGTGATCAATGTTTGGCCTTAAAGGAGGGGAGGACTACTCAACTAATTCACTATGACCCGTTCACTGAACACTTCACAGAAAAAAACTACTCACATCCATTCCAAATTGGGTATCACAGTTAGGGCAGAGCCAGATGTACCTTTCACACCTCGTTATTTTGGATACATCTGCAATCCATGGATGTGGGAAGAGTTCTTGGAGGAGTGAGACCTACTACATGTATGTTCAACTTTTGCCCTCCCTGACTAATAAAAGCCCTGCTGGGGTTTCTGGGTCCCAGAGCCCAGGCTAGCCTTGCTGCCATGTCCTGGTCCCTCTTGCTGAATGACTGTTTGGCCGGCGTTCGCACGGCACACTCCCTGGAGGCAGGCAGGCAAGGGGCTGTAAGAAGTAGAGAAAGGTTACAAAGCCTATTTGTTATGCTCACTATGGGATTCTGTAATATCTGCTACATTAAAACAATCAATAGTGAGATCTCTGCTGAAGAATCTCACCATGGATCTCTGAAACAGAAAGCTTATGTTAAACCTCCCTTTTTTGCCAAAGTGGTGGAGCAAACATAAGTTGCTGGATCCGACAGTCTCCATTCTAGTCTAGTACCCCATTTCTAACAATGTTCTGCCAGGTGCTACTAGAAAGCCAACAAACAGCACATGAAGGTAATAGTCCTTCCATGTCATTTGATTCCAAGCAACTGATATTCAGACACATGAATGTTACATTTAGTTATCATGGCTAACAGCCAAGGGCACTCACTTGCCCCCCACATGGCGGAGGTGCATCTCGTGAGGCATCATGTTACATGGCATGTGACGTGTCCCGCCCGCTGTGATGCCGTCGCTTGTGTGCTGGGCGGGGAATGGAGAATGGAGAATGTGGTTGGCCTCCTTCTCGCTGCACAACGTTGGTCAGGGAGGAGGCGGCAGAGTGGGGCCACCGGGCTCCCCGCTCAGCCTCCTCATCCCCGCATGACATCAGCAGGGTTTCATGACATAGGCGGGGTAGATGCGGCAGAGCAGGTTACTGGATTTGGAGGGAGCCCAGCCCCCTTCTTGAAAAACTGGGGGGCTGAAGACCGCTCGGCCCCCACCACTGTACATTTGCTAATAGCCACTGATTCATTTTCCTTCAGGAATTTGTCTAATGCTTTAAAAAGCCATCTAACTCAAATATTCTACAAACCTGGAACACAAACCAAAGAGGGGTTTTCTTTCTTAAACTGCTTCAGAAGCATTCCTAGTATGCATTTTCAAATGCAGTCAATATGTTAATTTCCCCACAACTGAACTTTTGTGATAAAGTCATAGAAGTTAAAAAAGAAATTTTATTCATTTCATAATTGAATCACAGAGCAACAAAATGTGGTAAATAAGTAAATGAAGCAGCATTGCCCCTTGGACTAAATTAATTCCCTCTCGAATTCTTTTCAACTATATACAGTATATCTTGCCCATTTAGCAACTATACATACGTACATCATTTTGCTTGAGCTGCACTGTATCCTAAATTAATTATGCCAGGATTTTCACAAGTAATGGGTAAGGATGGTCTTTGGTCCCACATTTTAAAAGGATGGGCCTACATTTTAAAAACAAATAATCCATTCTGGATTAAAAATGCCTCTTTGCTGCTTTCAATTTTACAATAACTTTCAGAAGAAGCACATCCCATACTAAGAAGAATTCTTAGCATTACTCTTGAAAATGCCACAGTATTCTAGATAGCAATGTCAGGGAAACTGCAGCAAATAGAAAGAGGCAACAATAAGAAACACTTGCATTTTCACAAATGACACTAAATGACACTTTTCACACTTTGTGCAAACACGCAAGTGATAGAAGCATAGTTTTTAATGTTCAAAAATGTGCAACCATCTGGTTTAAATTGACTAAAAGCCATGCAGAAAGTGGATTTTGCCATTTATGAAGCACATGCTACAGACTAGGCAAGTGGGCTAATGCAAATTAGTTGGAGCTGTGGTGAAGTGACATCACGGATATGTAGGTGCTAAAAAAAAGTCAATTGTGAAGACACCTCAGGAATTTTCACATTTGAAGTTTCTGTCACTTGGTGCTTAAATGGGTCTATAATGTAATTTTAAATCCGAAACTGAGCAGAATAGGTATTTCAGCTCTATTCCACCATTATTTACTCAAATAAGGCAGAAAATGGTCAGATGAACTATTCAGTGTTGTGTAACATGGGTGACATGGACTGTAGCATCGTTTTGCAGTACAATTCCAATTTCCTGCTTGAACAAGCTATGTCGCTAGTATCTTCACACCACTAGGAGACAAGCTACAAGTAAGGGTGATGTTAAACCAAGCTTATGGTTAATTGCCTCACACTTACATATTCCTTCACATTTTTCGTCTTCACAGCTTTGTAAGAGGAGTATGCTGGGTACAAGGTGCCGAAAACCAGCCTGGAACAAGAGGTTGTTATTATTATTTAAACAGAAAAGAGAAAGGAAGAAGAGAAACCTCATGAGATTATTCATTCAGCTTAGAGACGGCTCCAGGCCGGAGAAGCCCCGGTCCCTGCTAGCCCGCCCATCCACCCTCTCCCCCCCGCCCGCTCTTCCGTTGCCAGCGCAGAGCAGGCCTAGCGCAGCGGCTGCAAGGCTGGCAGAGCGTCAGAGGCGCTGGGCGCCCTACCTGCAGCCCTCAGGTGGTGGCGCCCAGAGGCCGTTAAACGGACAGCAGCTTAATAAGCGGGGGGGGGGGAGCACCGCGGTGTCCAGGCGACGCCCCTGGGCTCGCTCTTGTCACCTGTCAGGGTCAGGGCTAAGCTGGGCGGGGTGGCAGCAGGGGCCGGGGGGGGGGCGTCCGCCTCAGGAGCCCCCGAGAGGCAGAGGAGCGGAGGAGCCGAGAAAAGGGCTGGGCGCAGCGGGCACCACCGGGCGGGGTGGGATTCGGGAGAGCCGCCCGTCCAGACGACCCCCGTCCCCATCTTCTTCCCGTTGCCTAGCAACGGGCGAGGAGGGCCTCCCCGTCGCCGTCGTCCCCCTCCTCCCGCCGCCGCCGCGCGCTTACACCACCAGCCGGGAGATGATCCAGGACACCATGGCGAGGCCGAGGCTCCTCCGGGGGCCGGCGGGGACTGGCGAGCTGGCTTTTGGCAGCGGCACCAGCGAGGAAAGGAGAGAGCGCTGTTAAAGGGCAGGTTCCTGCAGCAAGCGCGGCCCCGCCCCGGCTCCTTAAAGGGGAGGAGCCAGCGGCGCCTGTCGGAGGGAAAAAGAGCAGCGGGCGCATGGCGGTGGGCTCGGCGTCAGTGCGGCGGTTGCTGCTGGGCCTTCGCGTCATCTCTCTGTGGCAGAGCAGCAGGTCCGGCGCCTCCGCCAGGCCCCGCGTCAAGCGACACGCTCCCCGCCCTAGAGGGCAGAGCCAGCCCCGCAATAGCGCTCGTCTCTGGACCCGCGCTTTGGGGCTCGCAGCGCAGTCCTTGCCACGCCTCCTCAGAAGTAAGTCCTGTTGAGTTCAGGGCGGCTTACTCTCGGAGAAACGGGGTTCAGGTGGGCAAGCCGGTTTCCGACGCCGCAACTCAACCCTGGCATAGGCAGCCTCAAGCCTCAGCCAGCCAGTTGCGTCTTTCAGATATTCGTGCGCAAGAAGAGCCTCCGGGTTTATTATATTGGTCGAAACCGTTAAAGGGCAAGGCCGGGAAATAAGGCCCCCTCGCCATAGAAGTAGACAATGGATATTGGTGTGGGCGGGGGGCTCTCTTGCAGGTACTGTTCAATTTGACAGAGTTGCCGCGTTATCCATTGGGAATCCCTAAAATCCTTGGGGTTTTGTTCAGGACCGGGCTGAGGATGCGGAGGAAACACCAGTCTGGGCCTCTGCCAACAGCTCTCATCGGTGTCTCGGGCAGCAGCTACCCCATGCTTATCAGGTGGCCCTCTCTCCAAAACCAAAGGCCCTGGAAAGGGGCACTCAAGGTCTTTTTGCACCCCTGCTCCCTTCCAGAAAGCAAGCAAAACTCCATCTTTCTTACCCAATCCCCTCAGCGTTTCCATCTGAATTGAGATTGAATACCTCTTGTAGTTTGTTAGATCATGTAATTAAATCAAATTATCTTAAACTGGCTTGTTCTTCCGTTTCCAGTATTTAAGACACGTCCCACTGTTCTAGTGGGTCTTTTTTAAACCCCCTTAATAAACAAAGCACTACAACGAAGAAGATACCAGAAGTTTAAAAGATAACCCTGTTTCGTTTTCTTTTGTTTTACAATTTTCTGACATCCAAGAAAGTAAAGTTAAAATGTACATGCATTCTCAGTGGCCTTGCCATTCTTAAAATGTTTTTAGCATATATAATGGATAATTGGTGAAAGCGTAAAAAAGGAAAAGGCGCACTGGAGTTTGCGCTTTTCAAATGTTCTACCACAACCTCAGATGTAAGGTTGTGTCAGATATATCTTAGTCAGTCTATTACTCTGTTTTGCCATGTACTAAAAAATGATACTGAAACCTTTACTACTTTTAACTGGCTCCCCAGTAGCTGAATAAGCCATAAGAAAGAAGGAAAGGAAGAGCTGGAAAGTGCCTATCAAAAGGCCAAAAAGGGAAAGAGAGTTCACTGAAACCTTCAAAGCATTTCAACAGCCAGTTGGCTGGCTAAAGCATTTCACTGCACAAGAATGAGGATGTGAAAGGAGAACTGAAAGCCACAGTATTTTGATGAAATGATTAACAGTTACCCATGGCTGGCCTGCTTAATGCCTCCTGAATGGATTATTCAGCAAAAAAATTGTAATTGCTGGCCAGCACATCTAGGAAGAACAATGAAAGAGGACAAAGGGTGCTATTCAACTAAGTTTTACTCAGAGTAGACCCACTGAATTAATGAACATGACTAAGTTATGTTGTAATGGTGTGTGCCAGTCTGAACTTTTTAGATCATGGCATTGGAATAGTTGGCATAAACTTGATATAAAATATACCCCTAAATGAACTTCCTTGACCCTGGTCCAGTTACTGTCTCAAATATGTCCCAGAAATATGTTCCTGGGCTCCTAATACTTTACATAAAGTTCAGCACAGTAATCTGGTGTTACCAGTAATCTCCTGTAAAAAGAATGGGTTTCACAACATTAAGAAAACCTTAAGACTCTGGAAACAAATATAACTAGTTTAGTAATTTCTCAGTAAGGGGACATCATTTCAGTACCAAATAAACAAAATGAGGAACAGACAAGAACTTAATAGGAAATAATGTAACAATGGAATATAGGTGTTATGACAAATCACTAATCCCAAAGACCCTCTCCATAGCCTAGCGTTGGCTCGGAATAATAAAAAAACTCCAGATGTTCAGTGGCTGGTTTGCTTTCATGGACCCCTTTTCACACTACTCTCTCAAGGACCAGCCTGACACTATGCTTTGCTTCAGGACACCATTCTTCCTCCCTCCCTCCCTTTGCTTTAGTGTGGGTACTGTGACAAATGTCACACTTAATTTCTCTTTGAGCTTTTGATAGGGATCTTTCTTTGCTCTTTAGACCAAGGTATGTTTGTGTTGTACAATTTGCAACCAGCTTGTATTTGTACCTGCTTTCTTAAGCCACATCCATATATTTTGCCACATATATTCAAGTTAATCAATCTTTCTTTATTCCTTTTGCATGTGAACGTCTTGGGGCATAAGGTTAAGGCTAAACACATATTCATAAATATTACAACTCCAGCAAAAGGTTCAGACACACTATAAAACAACATTCATTAATTTTAATAGGTCTATTCTGCAAAAGTTGGTTGACTATCACCCAAACAGGTAGAATTCAACATAGTGCTAAGAAGGTCAGGGATCTTAATTTTATTGCTTTGGCTTCTTCTACAACTTGGAGAGGGCATGTTACATGCTCCTCTAGTATTGCTGCTATATGTTTTTAGTAGTAGCAATTGCATGACTTAGGATACAAATACTATACACACTCAAGTTTATTTCCTAAATGTTCAGAATCTAAGCAGTAGCTGAGATTTCCCATTAAAAATCCTATGAAATACAGTGCAACATAGCAATATTTTTAATGCTTAGTCACTGGAGCGCAGATGAGAGAAGCTAAAATCCAGGACAGCTTGAAACCACTACAAATAAAATATGGGTTTGCAATTCAAATTGTTGCTGATTTCCACTAGCATTTTTTGTCCTGAGGCTTAGATGCTTGGCAGCCATGATAAAATGTGTAGTTTGGAAGGCATCAACTCCTGCTTAAGAAGATTCCCTTGCTCTGAGAGAATTACTGGAGTATACAGAAAAGGAAGTACTATTAATGTCACCCACCATAACCAGTACAGTAATGTTGGGCAAATGAGACAAACCAATTGCTAGTTATGATGGCGGTATTAACTTCAGCTATCACAGACATGAATACCAGCTGCTGGGGATCATGAGCCGGAGTGTGTGGTTTTGTTCATGCCCTGCTTGTGGGCTTCCCATAGGCCAGGCTAGCCACAGAATGTAGGGCAAGACAGGCCTTTGGTCTGATTCAGCAGGCCTCTTATGTTCTAATGATGAGACCATGTTGACAGTCTGGAATATATATTGAGAAATTTCAGTTGCTGTCCTATGGTCAGTGCTGATGAACTAGAATTGTTGGGGAGTATGCATGCAGAGATGAGGGAATAGATCTCTGGGGGTGGCTATTTTACCCCTCGGTCACCCAACAAATGTGGAGAGATGTGACCAGAGCTGCATGTCATGGCACTGATTCTGGCCTTGCACCAACGCAGCTCCAAAAGTATGGGAGCCCAGTATGCGCCAGCTGCCCAAACCTGGGTATCCAACGTTGGTTGCATGAGGCAGATTTCAAATGAGATTGCCAACGAAATTACGGTATAGCTGTAAATGGATGAGGAACATTTTGCTGGTGGGTGAAGGGAAAACTGAAGGCATTTTGAAGGGGCTTTGTAATTCAGATAAATAGCTGAGAATAAGCACACACAGAGACTTTATCCCAGTTTGAGTGGTATAGATAAGTGGAAAAACACAATGTTTGCTACATCTTGGTTTCTTCTAAGTGACTACAACTATGACATTTTTATGAGAGAAATAAAATACACATGGGATTGCTTGACTGGTTCACTGCTGAAACCATGTTGCAGTTTTGCTGCCTCCTGAAAAAAAGATCATTATTACTAGGTACTGAAGGGAAATGGTGCAGCAAACCTTGGAAGTTGCCTCTGAAAAATATGCATGAATGCAGCTCTCAGGAGTTATGGGAGAGGAGTGGGAGCTCAGAAGCAAAGACACTTCTTTAGCCCCACCCACAATTCCTCTTGCACAGATTCAGTGTAGGTTTAAAGAAGATTCTACAGTAAATGACTTTTATTTTTTAAAAAATGAAATAACCGTGAACATATTAACAGGCCTGCAGGTGGCACTACAGTACAGCTGGATAGAAGGTAGATATAGTCCCAATGTACAGTCAAACAATGGAATCCATCAGTTCAATGGTGACAATTCTGAATACAACTCTATCAAGCAGGAACATTTTACTGAAAATATTTCTGGACAAAGCTGATATTGAAAATTAGCTCTGGGAAGTATAAGTCCCAATCTAGAACTGACAACTGGTGAACTATTACCTGGTTTGCCAGTTTAGGGAGAGATGTACAACATCTCCAAAACATAAAAGTTCTTTCCCCCCCTTGCATTTGTGGAAACTGGTGTTGGAAGTCAATTTCTTTTAGCTCTCCTCTGGCCAATTGTGCTATTTTGGATTTATTTCTAAGAATCATTTCTTGAAAGGTTTTACTGAAAGGAAGACTAAACACAATGTGCCTTTCCTTGTAACCCAGGAACAGTTGTGGTATTTCAAATTCTAAAAATATCTACTTTCATGAAATACTGTTTCACTACAAACCTAGTTTTTCACTAAATACACATTTTTAAATCCTGGAGCCATCAGGGAAAAAGTGGTTTCTCTCTGCGATTCTGCGTTTCTACAGTGTATAGCGAACTCTTAAAAAGGGAGCATGAAGAACATCTTTCTTTCCTTGGCCTGTGTCAGACTCAGGAGGACCTGCTTCAGCAGCTGGGCTCCTGGTGATCGCACTCTTTCAGAGTTGGCTACTCAAGTCTGCAAGAGAATGTCCATCTTCACATCATTCTTTCTAACTTCTTGGAAAGACTAACTAGGCATGAAAAAGGTTCACACGTTCTATTCATAATAGGCAGGAACACCACATGGTTTCCATACAATTTAAATTTGCAAAAGGCCACAGGAAAGGGACACAGCACCTTTCATTAGGTGGGAAACTTTGCATGTTATAGTGACCTTCCTTTAGTTTCCTTAGTATTGAGGCAGCATAGAAGACGGT